GTCGCTGGTACATCGTTCGACTCGCTGGCGCAAAGTTCGATTCGCTGGTGCAACGCTCGGATCCAGCGATTCGCAAACTATGACATTGGCCCATACGATTCAAAAAATGAATGCTCACCCTTGTAAGACGGAGCATGATACACGGTTCTCCGCTGCTGAACCCCATACCTCTATTTATGTTTTGCCTAAAATGGCGCTTTACTCAAATCACACAAGCACTGAACAAATAAATTGCTACCGACATGGTTAAGGCGCAATCTCCATAGAGCTGATGACTTTCTGGTTCCACACTGCAAACGGATACATTCGTCGGAGCACCATCAATAGCTCCTTTTGCTCTGGTACACTTCGGTATAGACGAATTTGTGGTGTTATACTCACCTAGGGACAGAAAGTCAGTGAACAGCGCTCAAAAGCAATAAGCGTCTTTAGTCACAGTTCATTGCAATGCTTCCGATCACCTACCACTTAGTAACTTTTTATATCGTATCATATGATTATGATAGCTCCGTGGGTCCCCTGATCTAAATCGGATCACGCCTTTCGTTCCTACATCGAAACGGTTGGGGTTCGGCTCGTAGATCAGGCCTGAAATCTTTATATACGATGAGTGAACTTTATGGTACTGCCCAATGGGGCCTTGCTCCTCGAATCCCACAGACTGCAGACATTTTTACAAGCCCAGTGCGGCACCCTTTAGACTACCTTCACAAAATCATTTGCTTCGAACATCATAATGAAATAAAAACAAGCCAACCTGGAGTTCCCCCAATATGAGAGCCTTTGCCGAAATAATGAGGTCTTTCTTCAAGTTGAATAAGTAAAAGGTACATAATTAAAGAGGTAAATAGAAACCCAAATAACCATAGTATACCAAGATATATGAAGGACATAGCTGAAAAGAAATCAATCGGGTTTCCGACCAATTTGCGACTTCTTCTTCTTCTCTCCTTCTTACGACAAGAATGTGATACTTTAAATGATCTTGCAATCTTTATTGAGGTGATTTTTTTATCAAAGCCGAGAAGTTCCCGGAACAATTTTCAAATATGCTAGGTTGTCGATGATGTTAAGTGTCAATTTTTTTCAAAACTAAATTTTTACAAGACCAAAGTTTTCACACAAGTATATGTGTTCGAAGGAGATTGTTATATGATACTGTACAAAAGTTCACGAGCACTGTCTATAAACTAAGGTGGTTGACTATATTACATGTTTGGAAATTTGGGAGGCTTCAGTTAGACGAAAGCCAGCAAGCCCGGGATTCTCAATCACATCTTCTCGGGTAGGAATCAATGCATATGTACCCTGTCACTACAATCAGTCCGACCTTCTTTCAAGTTACATTAGTGCTTTAGCAGTATTTTCCTTCTTAAATTCCACTTTGCCGTGCTTACACATATTGAGGATAGCTCAAGCATGGATGCTTGCTTGCACTGCAGCGGAGCATTTCAGATGTTCAGAACTCTTGGAACCTTTAGAGCTACTGTAAAAGATCTATCAATTGGTTGGTCCAATTCACCTTAACGCTCGCTATGAAGACTTCTTTGCTTCGACCCACTATCAAGAGTCTGCCCGAGGACGGCCTGGGTAGTTGCGACTCCGCTGAGCTTCTCGGTGAGGAATCAATCAGCAATGATATGAGCGAGCGTGAAATAACATATTGGGTTGGGCATGAAATATCGTGGCGCTTCACATTTTCCATGTCTTATATCAACATTGAAGCGAAACTAAACATTCGTATAACTGATCAGTGATGCTCACTTGTATTATTCAAATTTGATTGATTCGCTGAATTATCACCGATATGAATTGAGGGCGGAGGTGGTAGTGCAATGGCGCGCTTACCACGGGTCAATCGTGGGTGTGAGTCGGCCCAGCCAACCAATCCTTCCATCCTCGAGTCGGTTAACATTGGTACATTGTCGGAGGCCATAAAACACGACTGAATCATCGGCTGCCCATCCCCCCCCCCCCCCCCGCAAGTCATTGTATAGGCCACATCGCATTCAAATGCCACTGCGAATGTACAAATGGAAGTAGAATGCGTGCCGCATCCCAAAAAGGGATTGATCAACGGCAAATGCTTTATCCTTTATATCTTTTATTGATTGGAAAAAATATTGTGCTCATTTCGTATTATTATCTCGTTTTTACGAACATGAATATGGCTTTTAATTTCAGCTAAAAGTATATTTCGTTAGAGCAAGTCGATTGAACAATGAATCTAAAAGTTCGATTGCGGTTTTCTTCTTTATTAAAACAAAAGCAATGCAGCTGTTCAAAACGCAATTGTACTTCGAAGCTTAAAACCTCTAACATATCTGAGTTGACCTACAATTTGAAAAATGCAATCACGATTTTGTAGAGCGGGAAGAGTAAATACCAAATGATTGAGCAGTTCTCGTATACTTGACGTGATTAATTGATAACGCCGAAAAAAAAACCTACATATAATCTGCCAACCAATAGACTTTTGATCGCATGAATGCTCGAGTTACCCTAGAGAATCTTGGAAGCAACTCTGATCTGGAGAGTTACCCGACTCCGTCTATGCTAGTTTTTATTGAAGCTATCCGAATTGAATCGACCGATAAAGTTTGAAAAGTTTCTGTGTGAGCTCGAGGCGCGCTGCATATCTCCCACGATCGAGTGGTTATACTCTCATATGATGTGAGTTTTGTGCATTTCGGCCACCCACCTTAAACATGACCCGGGCTGTGCATCCAGGTGATATCAAGTTTAGAAGCGGACACAATCGCATAAACAGACAGACAGATGTAGCGCTTCATAGATAAGCGGAACAGCGAGAGTTCCTTTCAGGAAACGCATGCCATCAAGGGGCAAAAAATTCCTGAGAGAGCGTTAAAAAAGCTTCCCGGTGCTAAACCGTGAGAGCCTTCAGATGATTGGTTGGGGCCTTATGTTGAGAAACTTCCACTTCAAAAGATATGCTCCAGTACTATCGCAACAGGAACTGAAAACCTCCTGCAGAAGCTCTGAGCAAGATGGCACCTGGGGGTTCTACGCTGCCTATTTACAACAACATGTGGAATCCCAAACTTGAAGTCGACAAATCAGAGACGGTAGTAATCTGGCCTCAGCTGCTAGTTACCATGTGACCATGAGCTCGTGGTAACTTGGTGATGGCTTCCATCCAAGTCTCCCTAAAAGATGCGTAGAGCACCTCTGGAACCCCTCCGAAGATTCCCCGTCGGAATGGTCGAAGTGAGTTCGAACTTACTTGGAAGTTGGGGTGATGACATCACGTGCTAGTAAGAGGATTAGCAGGGTGGTCATTTATAAACTAACAGCGATGGCGGCAGAGAAAAAGGAAATAGTGCGCGCGCGGTGGAGGGCGCAAACATGCTGCCACTTCATCTCTAAAAAGTCCTCCGGAGGACTTTTTAGAGATGGCCATCTTCCAAACTGCCAGGCTGTGTGGGTCAAAGCAGGTGTTGGAAAGGGAAAGGGAAGCACCTTGCATTGATTCGTCATGGTGTAGCGCCTGCGGTCCACGTTGGTGTTGGATCGGTCACTGGGATCAATTCTTCGCTATAGGTTTCACCTTTGCAGGCTGATCCTTTTTCTTTACAACCAATTCGCTTTCCATAAGAGGGATCATTAGCGATGCCGCTCATGGGACGGTGCACCAAAGGTTCAAACCCGTGTGTGACGCAAGTTTTGCAAGCAACGTGGTGGATGCTCACCACTTCCACCTATGGCAAATTGCCATGGCTCAATGGGAACGTTCCACGCTGCCGCTGGCAAGGTTGCTGGATCAACACCGCTTGGAGTCTAAGATTTGCAAACAACATCCGTTGCTTACCTGTTGTCAAGACCTCTTCCGATGCTGTGATCGAGTGATCCCTGGTGCACTGGCAAAAACCCGGCTATGAGTCCTGTCATCCAGGGTTCAAGTCCGAGAGTGGCGCAAGTTTTGCAGGTAGTGTGGCGAGGCTGGCGGTTTCAAGAAGGGTCATGTCCATGTTTCCACGTTCCTTGTTCCTCGTCAATGGGGAAAAATCACCACATTTGATTGCTAGTTTAGGGTACTTTACTACCGTCCCAGATGGCGTCAATCTTCGATTCGGTCTACTGATACTCCAC